GTGATAATACATAAAATTGTTACAATCATGTTTAAACACACAAAAGATGATATTTAGTAACCTTGAACTATAAACATTATCAATTGATGTGGTGATTCAAGTACTAACCTCTAAGAGTTATTAAAGATCTCTTCTGAGTATTATCCGCATACGCATCAACACATCCAACATTGTAATTGCACTAAATATGCTTCCATCCATGAACATGCATGCCTCTTATAAAAATTACAAGACTTGATAATGCTGTAGATTATTACACTTTCTTCATATATGATCTTATTTAATTATTACACAATAAAATCAAACTTATCTAATTCTTCGTTTATTGATTGTTACCCAATAAAGCAAAGCAAAAGCTAATCACTATTTACAACTTAAAATCAATACTAAATAGAAGTAAACAAGGAAGCGAAGTTGTAACCCCTAACTACAACCTAAACTTGCAATTGGTAGTCCATTCTAAAAAAAGAAAGACCAAACCTTGAATGTGTTTTTTTNAAGAGTGACAATAATGCGTTATCTTACATGATGCTAAAAGGTATGGATTGTGATTTTGCCAAATATCTAATAAACATCGAGGTGACTCCCATGGACAAACCTAGGGGGGTCCTGGGGGAGCAAGTGCCCCCCCTCCTTGAGATTTTTTTTTTATAAAATCGTGTTTGGTATCGATTGAAATCTAAATTTTAATCTAAATCAAAGTTAACAATTAATTTTAATAATATATTTCATGAAATCCATATCTGTTTAATTTTTATCAAAATTTCATAAAAATTTGATTTCAATATTCACTAAATAGGGGCAAAATCACGATAAATTTGAATTTCGATGACATGCTAATTTTAAAAATTCTCCGACAATTGTACACTAATCGAATTTATAAATTGCTTATGTCATCTCAAAACTTATTTCGAAAACTACATTATGGGTATACCGAATAGTCCAAATAGATATAAAAAATAGTTAAAAATACGTTAAACGTGAGTCTTAAAAAAGACTTCTAACTCGAATTTTTTAAAAAAAAATCAATTATTTCATTAACATTTATTGTTTTTGCGATACAAATTTCTCAATATAATTTTCATCATGTTATTAAGAAATTTTATATAGAATTTGACATCAAAAAGTTTCGAAATTTTACATTCGAAAAAGTCATATCTCATGTAAATTTTCGAATGTAAAATTACATAAGGTATGATTTTTTTGGACGTAAATTTTCGATTGTAAAATTTCTCCCAACTTCTTTATAAGTTCGATTACTCTCCTAACTTTTAAAGTTTGCGTCCACCCCTTCCTGCGGCTGGATAATTATTTGCAACAGATTTTAATTTATTTGCTTCCATTATGTTCTAATTTTAGTTAAAGGTCCTCAATCTTTATTCACTATAACAATTATATCCTCAACTTTTTTCTTTTGTACTTCGATTAATTTAACACATTTCA